TTGGAGGAGGGAAGCAAGTCTCGTGGGCGACGCCCGTGTCGCTGAAAACCAAGCTTGCCACAGAGATGCAGCGGCATTCGTGGAAGGAGCTGTACGCTGTCGGTGGGGCCAGAGGCGTTGCGGTTGGGGAAAAGAAGATTCTCTTCCCTCTTATGGGAACCAGCGTGGGCGCAGAAGAACGCAGATTTGCCTGCACCGTCATGTACTCCGAGGACAATGGGGGCAGCTGGAAGCTTCCTGCGGCGCCTGTGGCTGCTGAGGACTGTAACGCTGCCACGCTTCTCGAGTGGGAGGGGAAACTCTTCATGGCCACCTCCGGATTTTCTTCGCCGTGGCGGCACAGGGTCTTCGCATCCGGTGACGAGGGGAAGACGTGGAACGAGGCTGCCGGACCCTTCGCACGCCTGTTGGGCGACGCATACACATTGTCTATGGTCCGCGGTGCTGTAGACCTCATGACTGCAACCATCGCGGACAAGCATGTGCTGCTGTACACGCAGGTGTCGTTCAGTCTTACTGCGCCAGAAGGAACCAGCGGAATAGTCACGTTCCGCCCTGCAATCCACCTGTGGCTCTCCGACGGTGTCCGGACCCACGACGTTGGGCCGATATCTGCGGATGATGCGGGCGCCGCCCTTTTCAGCTCGCTGCTGTACACAAACGATGAGCTGCTTGCCCTCTACGCGATGGGGGACGCGAGCGGAAGGCCACGTAGTCTTGTTTTTGCGCGCCTCCCAGAGCAGCTGCGGCGCATCAAGTCCGTGCTGCAAACTTGGAAAGAAGTGGACGCTAGAGTTGCAAGGCTTTGCGGCGCCGCAGAACCCGCTGCTGCCTGCGTCGGTGCTATGCCAACGGACGGGCTGGTTCGGTTTTTGTCGAACAATGGCAACAACACCCACTGGAAGGACGAGTACCTTGGGGTGGGCGCCACGGTGTCTGGAGAAGCAAAGAAGGTTGATAATGGCTTCGCGCTGGCAGGGCGGGGTGCGCAGATTGCGTGGCCGGTGGCCAGAGACGGGCATGGCCCAGGGCACAGTTCTGCGGGCGAAGAGGTGACTCTTGTGGCGACGGTGACCATCAACAAGGCGCCACGGAGCGCCACCCCACTGCTGGGCGTGAGGACGATGCCCACTGGGTTATATCTGGGACTGTGGTACGACGAGCACAAGCGCTGGAAGACGAAGTTCGGGACGGAAGGAGGGAACACACAAACAATGACGTGGAAGGAGGGAAGGGCATACCGAGTGGTGCTCACGGTGCGGAACGGCGGCGGCTCGGCATACGTCGACGGACAGCTTGTGGGGAGTTTGGAGGAGAAACCTCCATCTACTGATCTGTTTCCTCCGCCTCCGCCTCCGCCTCCGCCTCCTCGTGACGAATATCCGCTGGAGAAGCCGCCGGAGAGGGTCTCGCACATCTTCGTTGGGAAATACAGCCACCGCGACGAAAGCACAGAGGTCCACGTGACGGTGACGAGCGTCTTGCTGTACAGTCGCTGCTTCGACGCCAGTGAGGTTGCGGCGCTGGAGAGGAAAGAAGAGGAGGCCAGCGTGACGCCGCCGGAACCGGAGCAACCGTCTCGTACCGCCACATCCGCCGCCAGTGACCCGACGAACCCTGCGCACGACGAGGCTGCAGCAGCTGGCGGCGTGGCCGAGGAGCCGTCAGGGGCAGCCGGCACTGGCCCCGCGACGACCAGCGCGGCTGGGAGTTCGGCGGGGGGTGCGTCGGTGCCGCGCGGTGCACCGGCGCCGGGCCTAAACAACGCCTCCGCCGCACTTGCAAAGGGGGCTGCGGGCACAGTGCAGAGGGAGGCTGGCGGCGGCGACGGCTCTGCGCGTGGGCGTGTGTCTGCGGTGCTCTCGCTGCTTCTGCTGGGACTGTGGGCATGTGTGTCGCTCCTCTGAGCCGGAGACCCACGACAGCGAGGGAGGAGGCGGTGCGACCCGCGCTGGAATGCGTGCAGAGTTTGTTTTACGTTCGTTGATTGCTCTCTCCAGTGCAGCCCCCTTTTTTTCTTTTTGTGTGTGCGTGGTGAGTACTTTTTGCTTTCGTTCTTTTTTTTTTTTGCTTGGACTCTCGCTGTGGAGGTGGGCGAGAGCTCCCCGCGTGGCTGCTTGCGTCTCTGCCCAATGCACGCAGGCGGGGGACGGCGCGCCGCAGCGACGGGGCGCGCGGGGGGTGATGCGTCGTGGCCCGCGAAGGACACCACGCACACCGGAGGTGCTGTGAGGTATAAATGGCCGGTGCGAACGTGAGGGGGAGTGCAATGAAGTGAGATGTTCACCGCCTTTGCTTTTGCCGCGTGCAGAAAATCCACGCGCAGTTTTGCGAAGCCACGCGACAGCTCGCTGCCGCTTCACTTTCTTTTTTGTTGTGGCAGGAGGCGTCGTGGAGGGAAGTAATTCTTCTTTTGGGGTTTGTGGGGGATTTATACATGGCGCAGGACGATTTTTTCTTTTTTGCTTTTCTTCGTATTTCCCGTGGCTGGCCGCCGCTTGGGCTGCGGTGCCGGCTCCAGCCTTCTTTTGGTTCGTTTCCGTCCTGCGCCTCTGCTGTGCGTGTGTGTTTGTCTGCGCGCCCCCACGCGCTTCGCTCTTCCCGCTCTTTGCGTTGCGTGTCTGCGGGCACACACACACAACCGACGCGCACGCAATGCGCCTGTAGTGCCGTGCAGGTGGATGGCGTTTCCGCGGCCTGCGCTGGCAGTGCCGTGTGCGGCTGCTGCTGCCGTTTCCTCGCGGGCCGTGAAGAGAAGGGAAGGAAAACGCACAGCACGAGCGAGAGTGCGCTGTGACTAACTCGTTTTGCTTGCGGGCGCCGCCTCATTTGGGTGGTGGCTGCGTGAAGTTGCTCGGCTGCCGCCTTTTTCTTCTTGCGACCTGCTCTCTTCACTGTCTCCGCTGCACTCCCTCTCCATCCCTCTACTTCTCTTGCTTCCTGCGTCTTTTTCTCCGCTGACTTCAGCGACTCTGCCACTCTGCTGCCACTACTACTACTTTTGCCGATGACGACGCTGGCGATGCGGCGCCGTGCGGTGTGCGCCCTGGCGCTCCTCGCGCTGCTCTGCGGCTGCACCTCCGTCTGCGGGGCGAATGCTGCGGAGGCGGCCCCGAAGTGTAATGTGTCGGTGCCGGTGGATGTGTCGTGTCAGCGTACTGGAGGGAATTTAAGTTTCCGAGTTCGTGGGAATGAGACGTGGGTGGCTTGTGCGTTGGACGATGAGGCTCGCACTGCGCTGAGCAACACAAGTGCCGCTTGCGCTGCGTGGGAGAAGGAGGGGCACACCGTCGCCGGCGCTGAGGTGAACTTCTGTGACGCCGGCGGGGACCTCACGGAGAACATTTGCATCGCGGCCGAGTTTCTCTACGCTTCCCACCAGTGCGGTGCCCGCTGTGCTGAACACGCGGCAACGGACCCTGTGGCGTTCACGATGACAATTATGGACCGTGAGGAAGGTGAGTTGCATAAGTGGCAGGGGGCACAGGCTGAAGGAGCTACGCTGCAAAATCAAGGGAGCCGCGTTGGCGGCGCGCGCGAGACGGGCGTCTGTCCGTTAACAGCAGCCCCTGCGGCGGCCGAAGAGGAGGGCACGGGTGCGCTTACGGGCACTGCGGGGCCGCTGCTTCGCCACAGCCCCGAACCGGCGCGCAGCCGCAACGGGAGGCAGCGGGCCCCGGCACCGTCACTGAGACCGGCGCGCCCGAGGTTGACTCTGCGGTCACCAGTGGCCCTGCCGCTCCCGCTGGGAGTCGGGCGGGGGCAACTCCACAAGTTCCCTCCGCAGGTGGCGGTGGGGCTGCTGGCGATCAGACCGGAGAGCTGAATGAGGCGAATGCCGAAGACACCGCAGAGTCCGATGACGCTCGCGGACCTGCAAAGAGCGAGGCCAAAACACCAGCAGCGGGGCCCACCGCCACCAGCACAGACAACGCCGCGACGACGACTGACGGTGGCAGCAGCAGCCCCGCGGTGCAGCCGCAGCCAGAGAGTTCAGTGGCGGCAACCGAAGCTGGCCAGCGAGAACAAAAGGAGCAGTCCGCAGTGCCCACACCCAGGCAGGAAACCGAAATGAGTGGCGGCGGCGAAGGACAAGCTGTTCAGCGGGCAGCGGGGGCGGCTGCTCAAGGGGGGACCACCACCAGCTCGACGCATGCAGCGAAGCCGGCGCCCGGCGACAGCGACGGCAGCACCGCCGCGCCCTCGCACTCCGCCTCCCCTCTTGCGCTGCTTCTTCTGCTTGCGAGTGCGGCTGCCGCTGCGATGCTGGCCGCGTGAGGGACTGAGGGAGGGTGAGGGCCGTGCACACAGCTCGCCCTTTTCTGTTTCTCTCCCTCGCTCTTTGCGTGTGTGTTCCCCTGCACGGACTCTCTCGCTCTCGCCGCACCCCAAGAGGCACAGGCACATAATGTGCTCGTATATACACAACTCCACTCATGCAGGCCCGTCGGTCTTCTTTTTTTTGCCCCCTGACGAGCCACTGCCGTCCTGCTTGGCCGCGTGGGTACAGCACCGTAACTGTTTTTATCCTTTTTAGTTTCTTTTCATTGCTTTCAGTGGGCGACCTCCTTTCTTTTTCTCTCTTCCTGGATTGGGCTGTGCGGGAACAAAGAGAATGCGTGTGTGTGCTGGTCGTCCCACGCGTTGCTGCGCGGCCCCACTGCTCGGTGGACGCACCCCCACGCTTCGGCCTCACTTCACGGGGTTTGCTTTTGTTATAAATTTCTCTGTTTGTGTTTGTGTCTTGGTTGGCTGCCCCGCCCCCGGCGGTGTGTGCGGTGGCCCCCTCTCCTGCTGGATGTCGCTGCGTGGGGTCGTGTGTCTGTGGGCCTATTTTTTCTCTCTCCCTCGCATTCTCCTTTTGGCTTGTGGTGGCTGCTCAACTGCCGCTCAAGCCAACAACAACTACAACATGGAAAAAGAAATGAAGGAGACGATGCCCGCAACGCAAAAAAGGGCGGACGCTGGTAGGAAGGAGGAGCGCCCAGACGCTACTGATCTGCCGCAGGGACGGCGGCGGGCGAGGGAGGGGACCGGCGGCGACTCGGAGCAGCAACCCGCACCGCAGCGCCGAAGGGTGAAGGAAACGCCACAGCGGGGGGAGGAGGGAAGGACCAGGCTGCCGTTGCCGGAGGGCTTCTACGACTCCGTGTTCAACGCGAAATGGAGCCATGTCTTGGGGCATCCCGGGGGGGAAGGGGAAGAGAGGGAGCTGCGGATGGAGGTGAAGGAGGGCCAATCACCAACACAGTGGTGGGAGTTCGATTTGAGTGGTATGTTTATTAAGCCGCTGAGCGATGCAGAGCAGTTTCGTCCACCGCGCCCCCGGCTGATGGTGCTCTCCTCCGAGAAGGGGTGGCCCTATTCGCTGCAGGATGGCACAGCCCTTGCCGACTGCTTCGTCACCGCCGAGGCGGAACGGGTGTGGAAACGCCTCAACGGCTTTCTGCGCATGCTGTTTCGCCATTCCATGGGAAGAGACTCCGAAGTGGAGCGAGTTTTACTGCTTGGGACGCCCGGGATGGGGCTGTCGATGACTGTTGGCTCCTACCTCCTCTACCAGCTGCTGCACTACGACGCCGAGCAATTGCAGGTGGCCGTCTACTGCCTTGGGGGAGAGCTGGCGTACGTGTTTGACAAAACCACGCAAACGGTGACGGAGCACGAGGGCGCGGGCAGTATTGTCGATGTTATTAACGGCTTGGCCGGGCGCGAAAAAAAAGGGTATATTGTCTACGATGTGTCGGAGGAGGGGGCACCGCCGTCGTCAGGACTACCGCCTGCTGGGTGGGGCATGATTTTGCTGGGATCCCCAGAAAAATATAACTACAGAGCACTGGCGATGCAACTGCGTATCGGTCTCACCATCATGAACTGCCCTAGCGAGCCCGAGGTGAAGGCGATGTGCGCCTGGAGGACGCGTGACCGCCCCGCGCAGGAGCAAAAGGAGTACTGGGAGACGGTCTACAGGCGCATGGATGAAATCGGACCGGTTCCGCGCTACATCCTCACTGAGGCTGATTTCAATGAGCGCACTGCGGCGGTTAACAGCGCCCTGCAGGCGATTGACGCCTCGGCTGCGAGAGACTTCTTTACTCAGGAAGAGGGGAACATGTGGTGCCCGGAGAATCCGTTTCAGAAACTTGTGAAAATTGGGCGGGGACGTAGCGAATACTGTTTGGAGCTCGTGTGCGCCTCACATCTCTCTGAAGACATTCGCTCTCGAATAAGGGGCCGTTTGTGTATGGTACTGAGCTACTACGAGTTGCTCTCGCTATCAGCGCGTGCCTCTAGTTTTTCCCGAAGACGCTGAAAGTGTGTGCCCCGGACCCACACACACGCACACACGCAAGGGAGGAGGGCCTTCTGCAGGCGCGGCGTAGAAAAAAGAGGGAGGCTCGCGCGGGGCTGCGGGCGCCGACAGGACGGCAGGCACGGCGCTGCGTGTTGCGGGTGGGCCCGGCGTCGCGTGCCGGGCAAAGGCACAGAGATGTGGGCGCCGCAGGAGCCTTCGGGCTGAGAGGGCGGATGGACGCAGCGTGCGGGGAGTTGCGCGGGGGCGGCGGTCTGGGGCCTTTACGCTGTTGGGCGCCTTTTTATTTAAATTATATATATATTTTTAAGCAGTCGGGAGGAATTTGTTTGGGCTGCGGTTTGCGGCGGCGGGTGCGCATCACAACACTACCGCCGGCGCAGCGAAGCAGCAGCCCGGAGAGTGAAGGACGAGGGTGTATACTTTAAAGGTTGGGGAAAACTGTTAGCCGGTGAGTGTTCGTGGGGGATATATTTGCGTGCGGGGAACACGGCAACGCGCACGCGGCGCGG